TCCCTGACTGATAGGTGCTGGTGCAGGGTCAGTATGTTTGACACCTGTCCTTTCTATGGTGCTGATCAAAGACCCTGAGTGCTTGCACTTGTTAGTGTGTGATAAGAAACATCCCTCTAAACTGCTACGATTTTATTCTTTCCAGATTTACATGTGATGATGTTGACTTCAACTTGCGCGTCCACAGTGCTGGCCTTCTCATCTGTCGCTTCAATCACTTCAGTGTCATGAAAAAGCAAATTGCAGTAGGAGGACAGAGATCCTTCCACATTAAGTCTAAGGTAGGAACTGAGACCTCTGTTTCATTGTTGTTAAATTTCTGTCTTTCTTTTTTGTACCCTGTAACCAGGAGAACTAAGGTATTTTAGTGCATCACCAGTTGCTAGTAATGGGATACGTGTGCCTTGTGGGTTTTTTTAAAATTTCTTTCTGAAATCCACAATATTCTTGGCATAAATGCACCTCTCCTTAATCATTTTCCCTTAAAATTTAAAAAAACATCTGAAGTGCCTCTTTACGAATCAAGTAACCATTCACTACGAGTTTTTTAACTATAGCTATTGAATTGCTCATCTTCATATGACTTCATATGTAGGAGTACTTTGGGTTCAAAGAAGAAACCTCAAAAACTCTATGAATATAAACATAATTCTGTGAAACTCTGAAACTTTTTGGTAGCAGGTATTTTTGGCTGAATGACTTTCTTCTTATATAAATCTTAGTTTTGTAGGGTAGAGATATATTTTATACAAAACAAAATTTAGATAAGTTCAACTTGATTGATCAGGACTGATCTGTACCAGAAATATTTTTTCCTCATAGGTATCTGATACTCCAGTTTCAATCTCCCCTGCTCAGTACATTTGTGCTCCTGACAGCAAGCATACCTTCTTGGCAGCACCTGCTCAGTTGCTCCTTGAAAAATACCTCCAGTATCACAGCCATCGCTTCTTCCCTCTCTCACTGAAGAATTACAGCCATCCAGTGCTATCTGTGGACTGTTACCTTAACTTAGGACCACAGGTATTGAACAAAATAATCTTCAAGCAGCTCTAGAAATGTATAGGCTATGTTTTGGATAAGTTCATTGATGCATTCCTTAATAATACTTACACAGCCTTTGAAGAATCAGGGATTTAAATCAAATTCTTAGTCCCGTAGAGATATTATTAGAGGTTTCAAGTAAAATAAATGAAGAACAATACCAGAGTTGTCCTAAATATTAACATAGTCTGTGACTTATACCAGATTTGGAATTAACACAGAGCACATTTTTCTTCAAGAAGGGTTTTCTCATTTGGCCCTTCCTAAAGCAAATTTCATTCACAACAATGTTTTAAAAATACTAGCTTACTCTTAGAAAACACTTCAAAACATAAACAGTCAGAATGGGAGAAGATGACGTTATATCTCAGGAGCTGTTGGCTCTCTCTGACAAGTTTGGATCTAAAGCCAAGGTCATACTTAAACTCAAATGTAGGTTGGATAGAAGTGTGATACTAAGGTGTTGGCATTCAGGAGAGAGAAACTGCTCTTACTTTTTCACCTGACTAAATGAAATTCCGTCTTGCTGGGTGTACTAAACTTCTTTACCAAAACAGCTGTGTAATGACCTTCCCATATATGCTGCTCCCAGAACATTTTGAACTATACCTTTCAATTTTCTTTCTGGCTGAGCTCTTACAGGTCTATGTTCCCATCATGTTGGGAAAAAACAAACTCTGTGGAAGGGCATTGTACTGTTACTGTGTTCATCCATTGCATCCTTTCAGCTGTAACCCATTCAGCACGTGAAATGAATTCAATTCGGTTCTGGAATTGTTACCTGAGCTGGAATGCAATACAATAGGATTGAAGGAATATGGATAAGTACAGGCATCCTGGGCCAAAGTCTCAGTTGCTGTGGGTCAACCTTCCTCCACTGAATCATGCTGACTTATGCCAGATGAGGGTCTGCCCCAACTAAGTAGTACAATGGCACATTGGAAACAAAGCCTTGCACGGAAGTTTCCTTAATTTAAACTCATAAATCCTGAAAAAGTGCTATAAATAATCCCAGTTCCTAGTGGATTTGGGGAGTAGCCATAAAACCAAACTAGACGAGAAGAAACCTTGCGTGTTCGTGTGTATGCACAACTCTACTGACTTGAGTAATCTTATTGTAATGTAAATGAAATTAGGCATTTCTAAAGGGTTATTTTCATGTCCAACTGCACAGTTATCCTATTTACTCATGTGTAGATAGACTGTGCTGGGCAGGTCACAGCATTACGGTTGTGGGGAGCTACTGTTACTGCAGCTTTCAAACCCTATCATATCTAAACCTCATGATAATAATAGTAATTAATAGTAATGACTAATACAAAGATATGAATAGTGCTTTTATGTAGATTTTTAATAAGCAGAAGGATGTTAAGGAAGACACTGTGACAATCACAATATTTGAAGTTGGAAAGCAAGTCTGAATTTGAATCGAATACTGAAAGCTTGGTATCAAGCTTTAGCTTTATATAGAAGCTTGCAAAATGTTATTGTTTTTTCTCCCGTCTCCCAATCAGATTGCAGTTTGCTACGTGAGTTCTCGGCCTCACTCTCTGAATATCAGTTCCTCCGGTTTGACATTCAGTGGTCTCCTGCTATACCTCTGTGACTCCTTTGTTGTAGCTAGCTTTTTGAAGAAGTTTCATTTTCTTAAAGGTGAGCTGCAGTAATTTTAACAGACAATTATATGACCTGGTTTCTGGGAACCTCGGGAAAATAATATTTTGTATGAAAATATACATCTATATATATGTATATGCATGTATTCATATTTGTCTTTATACGTCCCACCCAACTTTGATGCTTGATCATGCTGGCTCTGTACTCTAGTAAACTGGTATATAACTGTGCTATAAATTCTGCAGATTTCTAAGTGGGGAAGAATGTTGAATCTGTATCATTATGCCTAGTGTATATGCATAACTCCTTACTTTATGTTTGAAAATTAAGATTTATGTATGAAGCATTTACCTATTGTATTCTTGCAGGTTTTCTAATTTTCGGTAGAAAATTGGTGATGGACAAGCCTCCATCAAAATCTATTTACTATCCTTCGAAACAGAAGCTGGCTCATTTAAAATTTATCCCTAATAACCAGTTTCTCCAGGTAGACCTTATGATGGCGGCTAGCAGTGGAGATAAACAACTTCCATTTGTATTGCAGGCAGTCACATTGCAAACTTCTTTCGGATTGTTCTGCTACTATCTTAGGCATTTAGCACTCTGGGCATTTGTTTCATACGCAGCTATAACCGTCACTGGAGGAAGAACACTGACAAATGCCTTCTTGAAACAGGCAGAGTTGTTATGAACTGCTGTGTTCTTTGTTGCAGTTAATGCAGTTTCATGAAGGTATGTCTAGCAAAGTGCAAATCGAGGTACAATGTGCTTTACCTGCACACGTCACTGAAGCTACATTAGCGCCAGTGTCTATGCTCATTCTGGAGCAGAGTCCACATTTTAATCAGCCTGTATTTTCTCTAACAGGGCTATCAGAGTAACTGCAAATGAAAGCAGTGCTTTTATACTGCATTCTTTTTAGTGACCAGAGGCTATCAATCAGTTTCATTTTGCATAAACCAGACAATTTTTATAGTGGGTAGCACAAAGTGTCTTTGATTTGGGATTTCTCCATCTCCCTTGGCAGTCTACTTGATTTTCTAACCAGCCACATGAGCATTAAACACCACATGACTGTCTGTCTTGTTTCTTTTTATTACATTCTCAGCTTTCTTTTGTCTTGGGCATTTCCACTTACCTCACCAACTCTCATTCAGATTATTGAATGCTGGAGAGGTAACAATTTCCTCCTAATTGCACTTTTGTCAGAAGCCAGGAAATCATGCATGCCAATTAAAATGGTATCAGTGTGCCAGTCAAGACAGTTGATACTGTTTACTAAAATATGATTTTTCTTACTTTGGCATTCTGGATTCAGCTGTGTCCATAGCCATACAGACCAGATTTTTCTTTGCTAGCACATTAGCTTACCAATCTGAAAAGCACTGAAGCTTGTGGTTAGTTTTAAGGACACGTTTAGACCCTTTCTGGTCAGCAAAGCACAAAGACCTTTGTCAGCCATCATGGTGATTCACTTGTAGTGTAAGTGTTTTGCCGAGTGAGAGTTTCACGCAACAAAGTAATAATCAGTAGGGCTAGAACAGTAGGTTCTAGGACTTTATCTTGTTTCCTGACAGGACGCATCATCACCTCCTTAGACCTCACAGTTTTACCCTTCCTTACACTGAGGAGTAGGGAATGTGTTGTTAGTCCTCTTTACTAAATGAGTACTAGATACCTCAAGTTACACAAGAAGACCTCATAAATAGGGACCTGAACATAGCTCTTCTTGGTCTTACATGAGTGTTTTAATTGTCTCCCAAGCCCATTTGTAACTCCTGTTGTGAAAGTGGTGGAGTTCTACATGCTAAGGAGTGGTGGGAGCTGGGTGATGTGAGAACAAAGGGGATACTCACATGGGTTTCTTCTGAACATTTGCTTAGGTGCCACCCTGTGTGTGATTTGTCAAGACCGCAACTCTCTTCGCCAGACTGTTGTCCGGCTAGAGCTGGAAGATGAATGGCAGTTCCGACTGCGGGATGAATTCCAGACTGCCAATGCAAAAGAGGACAGACCACTTTTCTTCTTGACTGGACGACATATTTAGTTGAAAAGAGACACATTTCCTGAATGATACAAGAGACTAATTGCCACCATCTCATGAAATGACTTTTGAGAGGCTCTGCCTTCTGAACAGAAACAGGAGTGTTTTCCATTGTTTATTAGAAAGATATCTAATCAGACAATTTAAGCTGATATTTCCAAATATTGAAATTTCTTTTCTAATTGTATTGTCTGATGGAAGTAATTCCTAATTCCTGGGCAAGACACAGAAACTTACAACTCCACATGGCAGAAACCACGTTGGATCAGAAGAGAGGTCAATGAGTGCACTTCTGTGACAGGTGCAGACCACATGCAAGTTCATAAGCAAGAGTTTTAGAACACTTTTTGTACATTCCAGAAATAGGAAATGAAAATTTAGGAGCAAATTTTGGTTTACCGGTCTTACTTATCTAACACTTGGCACAAGGCAACAGGAATTGTTACAGTTTTGTAGTATACTGCTACTGATTGATCCAGGTAGGCTTTTTATATAAAGATTTGTAAAGTGTATTTCATTAATAGTGAGAACTCAGTTGGAGTCTTAATTTTTGGAACAGGTGCCACACTGGATAGTTTTACCATACAAGACTTTTGGGATAGAAGCATAATTATATGTCTGGTTTTATTAGCATAAGGAAGAGTCAAGAAAGTAGACTATAAAATGAGATCTGAACATTTAAACTTGAAACTGAAATGACGTTGAGTAACTGAAGAGATCAAATGGTGAGACTGACCTGCAAGTGACTTATCACCTCTAGAACAGTGGTGTTTTCTGGTTTCTGATTAAATTGTTGCACTGGCTGCAGACTTCAAGCTGGGCCAAGTGCACTCAAGACAGCAACTGAAATGGTTCTAAAACACTCTCAATACACTTTCTGGGGATATTTTCTTGCCAAGGTGCTTCAAAAGGGGGAGAACATTGAGACTATGTCGCTGAGGAATTCAGGTGGAAATCTAAAAACATGTTCTAGAATGGCACCAGGTGTCACAGTATTTTGTACGCTCTAAATGTGAAGTCAGTGATCATGGTCTTTGTCTAGGTTTTTGGAAATACTGAGTTACAAAATTCCTGTTTGTCTTTATAGAATCAGTGTTAACTTCACTCAGTCCAGGTGCAAGAAGGCTGACTATAGACATTGTCAGAAGACATCTAATATTTGGGCAGTCCTTTCTTACTGGATACACCAATGGGAGGAACATTGATTTTATACAGATGAAATGTCATTAGGTGGCTGAATCCATTACAGTCTCGGCCTTGAAATGCAGGCATCAGTATGGCTATGCCAAAGAGATAATTTAGGTCCATGTACAGGGAGAAGGTAAGTTCTGTAAGTTTGAGACATCTACATCACTATTTATGAGGTAACTGCTAGAAATCAGTGTGTTTCTATATTTCATTGTCCTTGTTTCAGAGTGAGTGAGAATTCACTCTTTTGGGAAGGAGGGTAAGCATTGTCTTATGTAAATAGTATTACCTGTTCAGTTTTCACCAGTTGATTAGTTAATTTAAACTTTTTTAAAGAAGTGTGACATTCATGTCTATTCCATCCTTTATAAATAAAGTTCATGCTGCATGGACATCTGTCTTGGTAATGTATAGGACTGTGAAGTATGCTGTTGTAGAGGGAGAAAAAGAAAAAGAAAAAGGTTGGCTGAAAGGAGTTAATATGATTAAGGAATGCCCTGAACTCATCAAGAGGAAGTACAGCACTGCCTAATGGCATAAAGCGTAAATCAGCCTCAAAGCTATAACAGTTTTTACAAGAACTCAGAATTAAAGATGGCGGGCTGAAATCTCCTTTCCTGTAACTAAATACTTAAACAACTTATACCACGTGTCTGTTAACTTTTCCTGTGGTTTAGATCTGAGATTTGCTTTGCAAGTCTTTAGACATCTGTTTTCTCCAAGAAACTGAAAAAAGACCTATAGTATATAATAATAAATAAATAAAAATGGATCACATGCTTTCTTAACATTGTCTGATGGAGTACATCAAGACCAGATATGCCCTTATTGTGTGACCAAAAAGCAGTTAATTCCCATCATACAACCAGCTATCCGCCCAAATGGTAGAAAAATACGGCATTTTGTCTAGAAGATGCCAAAAAAGTAGTGGATGAGTCAGGCAGAGCCACTCTCCAGACAGAGCTCCACCCAAGAGTTTCTTCACCCCTGACCTAGCTTACAAGCTAAGCTTCCTCAGAGTGTAAGATTTCAGTGAGAGGGACAATGTAGAGTTCATGTCCAACTGGAACTCTGAGGTAGTACAGTAATATAGATAAATAATAATGAGAAATAAAAGCAAATCTGTTTGGATGGACTAGCATCCTGTGTTACAACTACTCGGTGCAGTACATGTGTAGGGCTGGGAACCCAGGTCCCAGCTCCATCCTTCTCTTGTCTTGTCTTTTCCGGGAAAGAATCACTGGCTTTCAGTCCCAGTGACCTTTGTAAGAAAACTTGGCCCATGCCCATTATGTACACAAATCTTTTATGTATTTCCTTTCTGAATTTGGATGTGGCAAGAAGGTAGAGCTCTCCATCACATGGGTTGACTTCATAATGTAGTAGCAAACAAAATAAAAGCCATTGCCTGCATGCTTTTACAGACTTTTTGCAGCCTCTACCTTCTTCTCTAGTGCCTTCCATGCTTGCTAATTTAGTCATCCCCTATTATCACCTGCAGATAGTATTGTTAGCATGTTCTGTATTATCAGTGAAGTATCTTATGATTGAGCATCTGCAAAAGAACAGTATCCAAATATAGAGAAGGTTACTGGGAAGGTGACATTATTTTCCTTCTTACAATCCTCTCCCCACTATCAAAGCACTCTTCATAAGCACTTAAGCACTAATCTAATCATCAGGGCATTACAGATGATTTGAACACCAGAGGATGTAAGGGATTTCATCCTTCCCTAGCAAATGCCTCCTGTTGAGGTGATAGGGAATGTACAGATCTCAGCTTCCACTCTGCATCTAAAAGTAGTTGCTAAATATTGCTTGAGAGGGGGCCGCTCTTCAAAGGCTGTATCTGTGACACTGTGGTGAAATGTGTCATTCACACAAAGAGGTACAAGCAAAAGACAAACAACCCCAAGGAAGAGGTTTACAGGGCAGAAAATGGAGAGCAGGGAACTAGGGGCTATGAACAACAATCAGCACCATGGAAGAAGCTGGGGATCAAGCAGGGCTTCTGGCTGTGATAGGAAGTGTTTGCTGGGGCACAAGAACCCTGGGCAGGGCTGTGTGCAGTGTGAAAGAATCAGGATTTTCACAGCAGGGGGAATTCGAATGGGTGGTGTGAGTACCCAGCTCAACAGGTCCTGGCCACCTGCTGCAGGCTGCTGGGCTG